GCAAGTGGATGAATGAATAAAAATAAGCCAAGTGAATGAAAGGTGCCCGTGCCAGTGAGGGCAGGAAAGGATAAGTGAATTCCCACTCTGTGTCTTCCTTCAAGCCCACCAGAAAGACCTCCTGCCCAGCTTTCCACTCATCTAAACTGCACACCACAATGTTAACCTCTTTTAGATTTCAAGGAACAAAGACACACTCAGGTTAGTGATGGGGATTTATTAAAGCATTCACAGGGAAATAAGGAAGACAAGAACTGCTACACAGGCAGCCTCATGGAAGAACAGAAACTTGAAAATGGTTCATGATCCAAAGCAGCTCTAGAGCCTGGCTTATCTTGTCACCCCCTCAGCTGCAGGCATCTGTTGCTCCCTTCTCTAGTGCTTCCCAAATTGGTGACTCAACTCCTTTCTGGCTGTATTTATACTCCTCCTACTGCTACTGACTAACTTCTTTCTGCCCCCCTCGATGCTAGCCCATGGCTTTTGCTGCCTCCTGGGTCCTGCGGCTTCATGGCTCCTGAGGCTTCAGTTCCTATTAATCCACGGCTTTTCTGCACTGTAGCTCCTGCTGCCTCTTCCATTCCTGTTGCCATGTTGCCACGTGGTTCTGGCTACCTTGAGGTTCTTGCAATCTCATCACTTCTACTGTCTCATTTATCTATTCAAGCCTTCTGGTGCTTTGTCAATCTCATAGTCAGTTTTGTCTCATGGTTTCTGTTCCTCGTGGCTCCTATTGCTTCATGGCTTCTGTGTCCTTTTAGCCCATTGTTGCCTTGCTGCTTCATGGCTTCTGCCACCCTGTGGCCCCATGATCTCATTATACAAATGTCTCATGACCTCTGCTTATTTATGGTTTCTGCAGCTTTCTCTTTGCTTTTGCTGTTTAGTTTTCTGGCTGCCCCTCATCCACCACCACTTACTTATGCCTCATTAAGGTCTAATTAACTGTTCACTTTTTCTGAACACCTCATATTCAGCCTCCTTGAAAGATCCGGTTGTTTCATGTATTTGCCATTTGATACAAGCCACCCTGTAAGGTAGAGTCCTTATGCCAGTCCAGTTAATAGGCTGCTGGCCAGCCTAGAGCTTGGCTGCCCTTGAGTCAGACACTATCCCCATCTAGCTATCTGTGGCCAGGACTGTGAGGTCACATGGTACAGGGCATTGCAACTTATGCTAAAGAAACCCCTTAGAAGGGACTGCAGGAATGGCAGGTTTGCTGACGGTTTCCAGAGGGGGCAGGGTAATTGGCAAGCATCTTGTTCGGACTGTCCAATACATCGACCTTCAAGGTTGAATCTAAGTCTCACCTTCTCCCTGACTACCTCTGCCTGTCCTGATTTACAATGGGATAGATCAAGATCAAGACTCTAGAGATGACATAGAAAGGAAACCTAGGTTCCATTTCTGGCTCCAATGCTTCCTAGCAGTGGGACCTTAGGAAGTTAATTCCCCTCCGAGGACCTCAGAAGGGGTTTGGGCAGTCTTCCTTTAAAGGTCTGACATTCTGGGTGTCTCACTGTAAGTTATTGTATAAGAGATGTGACTCTTAACTGGGAAAGCCCTCAAAAACATGTGAGGTAGGAAAGAGAGAGTAGAGTCCTGGCTTGGAAGAGCCTTACTGCACACTGGAGGTGCTTAGCCAAGATTTATTGAACTAGATGAATGAATCAATGGCTTGTGGAGGGGGGGAGGGGCAGTGAGAGACCACACAGCACACAGAATGTCTAACTAACTTGAGGGAGGAATTCCAATTGCTGAGGAGGATGTAAGGAGATTCTGTTTCAGAGATGGATAAGGAAAGAGATGACTGGGATAGGGTAGGAATCCTGACTATTCATGGGTACTCATTCTATCCTCTCAGTCACCCTCCACATCCAGTAATCAGTCATTAAGTCCAGTTTATCATCTTCCCTTAACAGTTCACACCTTAACACCTCCATTCTATTCCTACTGGCCTTTGCCCTAGTGCGGGCCTCCTGGTTTTTTCCACAGTGTAATTAATCTACCCGTCTCCATTCGTTTTCTCACAAATGCATTCACTCATGCATTCATTCATTCAAAAACTTTACTGGTGCCTGTTTTGTGTCAGGCACTGTGTTTTTTTGCAGGGGCTTTACTGGTAAGCAAAATATCCCAAGGCCCACCCTTGTGGTGCCTAAAGCTTATTCAGAGACAACACAAGCAAATATAGTAGCGTAAGAAGCTGATTAACAGGGAAGCTACAGGCAGGGGCACATACAGCATGAACATCTAACCTAACCTGTTTCTATGCTGGTTGGCTAGCCAGCCAGAAACAGGTTAAGTTCACATCTGATCTGGAGACACCCTATTAAAAACCATCTCATGGCATCCTCACTGCCTTCAAGCTATGGTTTCTAAATTTGGCTGTACCCTAGTCATGTGGTAACCTTTATAAGCATTCAAGATTTCAAGCCCTCACCCCAGACTTAATGAATTTTTAGAGGTCGGGGCCCAGAATGCCCCATGTGCTCGTGGCATACAGCCAGTTTGGGAACCACACTGTCCTACAAGACAAATCTCAATTCTGTAGCCGTGCATTTATGACCCTCTTCCAATCTGGCTCCTCTCTACCTTTTCTTGCTGCTTTTCCCCTACCCCAGGAATCTTCACTCTTCAGTATTTGATTGCTTTGCAGTTTCTTGCCTTCATGTCCTCATGCATATTGTTTCCAATATCTGGAAATTCCTTCCACTTCCTCAACTGGGTAATTCCTACCAGTCTCTCAAGACTCAGTTCAGGTGTCACCACCTAGACTAGAGGATGCCTTCCCTGAATCTTCACATAAGCTAGACGTTTCTCCTGTGCTCCTGTCAGAGTGTTGATCACACTGTATAGTTAATGACCATTTTACAAATTGCTTCCCCAACTAGAAAGCTCCTCAAAGGCAGGATAAAGATTTGACTCATCTTTGTGTTCCTGGTGCGCAACACTGTGATTTCCAGAGGGAAGTGCCCAATTAAACTTAGATACTGTTGTGGAGTACTCTTCAACTCCCCAGAGCAAGGCTACTGTGTCCACAGTATAAGGGAGTCAAACTAGTTTCTCCAACAAGCCCTAGGGAATCTACTCGGATCCAGCTTGCTCTTGGAAACACACTGTGGTGTGCGGCCTCCTGCAAGCACACCGTTCACTGACAAGGGTTGCCCTGTGATGACAGGAGGTGGTGGAGTACAACAGGAGAGAGCAGGGGGCAAGCACTAAATAGATCCAACTGGAAATCTAGGCTCTTCCACTAAACCAGTGGAATCTTGGACAAGTCACCTCACCTCCTGGATCCTCAGGACTTAAGTCCCCAAAGCTCCTTTGTACCATATGTGTTCCTGTGTGCCAGGGCCTTAGCCCAAGGCATCTCATGTAATCCTTTTTATCCTGTGAGGTATAAGGGGTTAGGTATCTGGGTTGCCATCCATGCCTACTGAATCAGATTTCCAGAGGCAGGACCACAGCAATTGATTTTTAAAGAGCTCCACATCCTTTGGATGTGGGGGTGCAAGCAGGAAACTGCTGCTTCTCATTATAAGCCCTTCTGTACTATTTTATTTTTTACCTGTGTATATATTGCTTTACTTTTAAAAAGGAAAAAGCTTTACAAATGATTCTGATGTGCAGCCAAGGTTGATAACCACCTATACAGTGGAGAAAGCACTTGACTGACTTGGAAGACCTGGGTTCAAACCTTTTTGGGCCTCAGTTTCCTTACCTGTAAAGTGGGGAGAATAGCAAAGGTGACTTTTTTTTTTTTTTAAGACGGAGTCTTGCTCTGTCGCCAGGCTGGAGTGCAGTGGCGCAATCTCGGCTCACTGCAACCTCCGCCTCCTGGGTTCAAGCGATTCATCCGCCTCAGCCTCCCGAGCTGCTGGGACTACAGGCGCCTGCCACCACACCTGGCTAATTTTTGTATTTGTTTTAGTAGAGACGGGGTTTCATCATGGCCAGGATGGTCTCGATCTCTTGACCTCGTGATCCACCCACCTCGGCCTCCCAAAGTGCTGGGATTACAGGCGTGAGCCACCACGCCCGGCCATGCAAAGGTGACTTTTAAAGGGCTGTGATGATCCAGATACCAGCCAAATTGATTCAGATATATTTAATTTTCTCTTTGCTTCACTACTGCAAGGTAGGTATTTCTTATCTCCTTTTACAGATGTGGAAACTTAGGCTCAGAGGTGAAGTAACTTGCCCAAGTTTCTACAGCTGGAATTTGAACCAGGTCTGACCCCCAAATTGTGCTCTTCCAGATAGGCCAGCATTTGCCAAATTATGGCACACAGTACCACCACTGGTATGTGACTTCTTTGGTTGAAAACGGACAAATTTATTTTGTTTTGATAGTTATGTCTTTTAATATGTATTAGAAAAATACATAATTAGCACACATCAAACCTGTGAGTTCACAGATATCACTACTTGGGATGAAAATGATATAGGATAACAATGTTAGACCTCAGATTACCTTAAGAAAAATACTGAGTAAATAGTACAGGAGGGCAATTTGGAAGTATCTATTAAAAACCAACATATAAATATCCTATGACTTTGCAATTCACTTCTAGGTATCAACCCTAGGTAAACTTTCACATACACACTTTCGCACAGGCCTAGGGATGCTCCTGTGTAGTATTTTGTAACAGCAAAACCTGAAAAGTCTTAATGTCCATCACAAGAGAAATGTGTTAAGTAAAATGTGGTAGACATATGATGGCAATCTATAAGCAATTACAGAGAATGGACTGATCTACATTAAGTAACATGCACAGATCTGAGAAACATTGTTAAGCAAAGAAAACAAATTGCTAAACAATATACCATTTGCATTAAACACACAACATTTCCAATGAGTTCATATATGTACGTACAAGTGTTAAAACAAAGTCTAAATAGAAGTACAACAAACATAAAAGCCACTAAGAGGGGAAGGATCAGAAGTGGGAGTGGTTGGTAGCTGAATGAGACTATCTTTATCTATAACAATCTAATTTCTCAAAAGGAGAATGCATTCATGCATTATTTGAGTAATTAGAATAGACTTAATTTTTAAGAAGCAAAAAAAGCAATACACAGATTGGAATAAAAGCATGATGGTATATGTGAATGAGTGAAGGCTGAGCTAATCACACCAGGCTTTGCTGTCTCTGCATGATCCTTATAGTTAATGAGGTTAGTTCCTAAAGTGAACCTCACATGTGTTAGGCTGGGATGTGGCCCAGGCTACCTCTGCCCTATTTCCTCACAACCCAGATTGGGGCTCAGGTACCTGGTTACCATACATGATTGAAGCTACAGGCCTCCTCAGGCCCTCTACTTACCAGGTAGACCCCATCAGTGCCCTGAAACTTTCCCAGTCAGCAGGGCATTCAGCACCTTCCAGATTTGGAAGCTTCTTCTGTCCCTAATAGCTGGGATCAGAAGCTCTCAGGGGTCCAGGCATGAGGCTTATTTTCTGAGGGATCGGCACCTAAGTGGGCTCCATGAAGGGATAAGGCCTCCATTGAGGAGCTTGACATCATTAAATCCTATGAGGTAGGTAATATTGTTAGCCCCATTTTACAGATGAGGAAACTGAGGCACAGAAGGTCAAATGACTTGCCCAAGGTCAAACAACTAGTAAGTGATAAAAAGTGGGACCAGAACCCATAACAGTCTGTCCCCAGAGCTCATGCTCTGCAACTAGTGCCTGACCAAATCCTACCAATTTGTCAAGGTGCAGCTTAAATGTGACCTCCAGGAAGCCTAGAGGTGATCACCCTCTTCTCAAATTCAAAGTACATAAGACATTCAATTAACGATAGTCATTCATGAACCAACTGTATCTCCTTACTAGGAGGGTAGAGATCATGTCTGATTCAACTCTGTATTCCAAGCAAAGAGCTTGACAAATAGATGGTGTTCGGTATGTGTCTGATGAATACATACATGAATGAATACACAAATGAGTGAATGAAGGCAGTTTCAGGTAACTGCCTAAGACTCCTATGAGGTCCTGAGTACCTTTGCCCAGCTCAGGGATGCTGTCATCCTAAGCTCTCTTGGAATGAAATTCAGCCTAGGCTCCTTCTAAAACAGGTCTCCAATATCCTTTATTATTTTGCAAACATACATGCACACATGCGGATACATACATACACCATACGTACCCACACACACAGTGGGCAAGAGGCCCAAGGGACCCATGATGATGGGTGATGAGGGGGAGGAAGGGGGTGTGTGGGATGAACAGATGGCCCTGTTCAGCTCAGCACCTCCTTCCAGAGGCCAGAATACTCCCTGTCGCTCAGGAATTTTTGCTTTAGACCTAACATCACCTCTGTTCCTCTTCGTGCTTAATTAGCAGTGCCTAAATCCCATGACTACACCAAAAAGGGCCAGGAGGCAGGGGAAAGGTTGGGAGTCAAATATCCAGAGATTGGGAGAGGGACACCTTAGGGATCCAGACAGGGCAGGAGGGTAGAACTATTGCTACTGCTCATTGGGGTTGGGGTTGGCATCTGGGTACTTGGTGAGGTCGAAGGTCAGGACTTTGCTGATCACACAGTCCCCTTGCTGAAGGAGGAGGGAGAAAAAGAAACATAAAATTGTAAGGAGAGAATTAAGAGGGGTCTAGTGACCCAGGACCAGGGGCCTCAAACCCTCTTCCCTACATACCTGCCCAAAGCCCAGGCAATGGTTCTTTCTGGGTGTGAGAGGATGTGCTCAGTCCCATGTGTCTTCTCTCCCTGCCTACTTCTGTACTCTCCTCCTTTCTCCACTGTCTGGCTGCCTCTGCCTACCTTTCCATCTGTCCCCAAATGCAATGGCCCTGCCTGGCTGGGGTGGCTAAGCCTCCAGAGGCAGAACTACAACAAGCCCAAATGGCCATTCAGGACCTGATTTCCTATGCTCCCCCACCCCCTTTCCCCTCCACTGCGGCCTTCCCTTTCTGCCCTGGGAAGTCAGGCAGGGAGTAGGGCTGGCTCCTGAGCCAGGCCCACCCTACCTCAGGATAGACTCCAATGAGGCTCTCAGCCTTGGTGTAGAACTCTTCCTTGAGGGAGATGACGATGGCCTGGAAGTTGCAAGTCGACTGCTCCTTGATGTAATTTGCCACCTGTGGGAAAGGCTTCCAGGCACTTAGCAAGGCTCAAGCCTTAACACTCCCCTGTAATTTCCAGCCACAACCAGAAGGCAGCAGAGGTAGGGTAGGGGGAGGAAGGTGAGGGAAAGAGAGGCTGAGAAAAGGAGACTACTGACTACCACAGCATGGATGACTCTGGGCCCAGCCTCTTGGGCACAGAGAGCAGGCAGCAGGAACAGCTAGGGCATACTCAGGAGTTGCTCCCTGAAACCCAGCCCCGACCTGGTGGCATCCCTCCCAGGCCCCACTTTCTTTGCACCCACCTTGCCAATGTTGGTGTTATCCAAGGCAGCATCAATCTCATCCAGGACGAAGAAGGGGGCTGGCTTGTAGCTGGGAGGGAACCAGTAGGTGAGCTGACACTGAGGTGGGGAGGGGGCGGCAAGGCAGGGTGGGACAGCCCCAGGGCCCATCAAACAGGCCAGCTTCCCACTCCACTTCTTCAGACTAAAAAACCCAGGTCTCAAAGTTGCCTGAGCCCCTAAAAGCCAATACATCAACAAACATCCTCCCCTCTGCATTAAGCCCTGTGTTCCAGGTTCCTACAGAACCACAAGAAGATATGGTCCCTTCAGGAGCTTCCAGGCTGGCTGGGGAGCTAAAGTTGTCCAATGACCGAGCTACCTAGAGGTCCACCCCATCCCAACATACACCATCACAGCATGCTCTGTCATGCCTGCTTGCCTCTGCACATGCTGTACACTCAGCCTAGAATGCCTGCTGGTCTCCCTGGCAAACTTCTATTCATCCTTTACATCTCCTGCTCAAGTGGCACCTGCCCTTAAAAGTATTCCCTGGCCTATCCACACCCTCCCCACAGACTGGGTTAAGTGTATCTCTTCCGTGTATCCATAGCACACACTCTCACCCGGTCACAACACTTAACACACTGTCTGTTTATGCATCTGGCTTCTACTAGACTGTGAGCTTCTCCGGGCCAGAGACCATGTCTGATACATCTGTGTCCCCAATCCCTCTGTAGGGTCTAGTACAGAGCAGCACTCAAGAAACTGATGCTGTACAATCTTGCACTAAGTTGCAGGAGTCAGACTCAAGTGCTACTGGCATTCAGGAGGGAAAGGTCAGGGTATGCCACAGTGGTCAAGGAGGGCTTCCTAAAGGAAGGGGAGAAGAATGAGGAAGGGTTAAAGGGTAAAAGTGATGATCAAGCTAGATTTGCATGGAAAGGGATTATTAGCCAGCAACCTTGTGAGCAAAAGCCTGGAGGTGGGACTGAATACATGCACGGGCCAGTGAGGACATGCTGAGTGGATGAGGGTAGATGGGGAAGACAGGTCCAGGAAAACCAAAGCAAGATACACTGCAGTAGACAGTGAAACAGGGATGCAATCCAGATTCCACCAAACCATCTTCACCTTCGCAGATCTCTGCATATCCTTGAGCCCCAGAGCCTCTGGTGGCCTCAGTTCGGTCTCTTCGTCAACTGCCCTAGGGGGTCAGCCTTACCTGTGGATGGCAAAGAGCAGGGCCAGAGCTGCCACTGTCTTCTCCCCGCCTGACAAGTTGTCCATAGGCCGGAAGCGTTTCCCAGGAGCCACACAATTGTAGTTGATGCCATCCAAGTAGGGCTCTTCAGGATTCTCAGGGCCCAGGAATGCCTAGGGGAAGGCAGATGGGTCAGGATCTGTATCTAAGTCTGGATGGAGATAGGGAGAGGAATCCTGGAGGGAAGAACAACTGAGGATGGTAGCAGCTGGTTGGGTAAGGGACTCCAGCCTACCTGGGCACTGCTGTTGCGGGACAGGGCCTTATAGATCTCATCTATGTTGGTAGCCACAGATTCAAAACAAGCATTGAAGCGGTCAAAGCGTTCCTTCTTGATCTGTTCAAATGCCTGCTTGGCCTTCTTTGCTCGCTTTCGGGCTGCTTCAAATTCTGCCAGAAAGACAGACAGGTGATCCCTCAGTGCCCTGGCAAGAATGACCTGCAAATGACAATCGAGAGCAGGACATCCCACCAAGAGAGGGGAATGCCTGAGGAGGGTCCCAGAAGGATCTGTATCCAGTGGACTGGCCATTGGATACAGTGCAGAGTAAGAACAGGGGCCTGGAGCCACATAAATATGCATTCCTCCCTGGGTTCTACCAGCTACCAGCTGTGTGACCTTGAACAGGTCATTTACCCTCTGGGAACTGCATTTTCCGTTCTATAAAAGCAGGTATAATAACTCTTACTGTTTAGAGCTCCTGGGAGTTTTAAATAAGAAAGCATGTTAAAACAGGAACTGCTGTGATGTACAGCAGGCCCGTGGCATACCTTTAGCCTCTTGTCCTCATCGTAGGCCAAGTAGAAGGGTAAACCTTACCATCTGAGGTCTCCTGGAACTTGTCTCGGACACTTTCCAGCTTTTCCATGGCCTTCATGTTGGGGGCGGCAATACGCTGAAGCACACTCTGCTGCTCATTCAGCTTCTGCTGCAGTGTGTTCATCTCTTGCTTGATCTCTTCCTCAGCCTGGGCATCCTGTAAGTCCCGGGCCCAGCAACATCAAGAAGGGCCTGGCCTCTGTGCCCAGGCCCCCACCAAGAGATGACTGACTGAGTGGGGCCTGGGCGCCTGCACATATACAGAGGGCAGGTTCTTCTTCTCCAGCTCGGTTCTTTCCACCAGATCCTGCCCATAGTAACCATTCCCACCATCTCTGGAAATTATAGGCTGAGGCTGCTTTCTCATATCTAGCCCTTCCCCCAGGCCCTGCCGACCTCTTTGTCTCTCAGGAGGAGCAGCTGGTGGTGTCCCTCTCTGGCTCTCAGCCCAGGCCGTGAGCCAGTAACATCTCAGGGTGACCTGGAGGCTCCCACACTGGCTGCTCTGGACTACACTTACAGCTCCATGATAAGTAAGGCAATTCACGTTTTCTGCTCAGATGACTACATCTGAGCAAATTCCATTTGAGTTTGGTTTTAGTTCTTATGGATATTACAATGCATGTCTGGGCTTGTGCCTTTCTGCCACTTTTGGTCAATAAATATTTACTGAATGCCTACCAAGTGCCAGGCTCTGGGGCCATCATGTCCTGTGAGCCCTGGTTTCTGTACTCACAGAGCTCAGGGGTCTAACAGAGGAATGCACGTAAGTAAACAATCAGAATATTATAGGATGAATGTGAAAATAATGATAAGCAGGCAGTATTGAATCAGCACACAAGAAAGACACCTAACTCAGACTCAGGTGCTAGAAATGGCTTCCAGGAATTTGTGTGTGTGTGTGTGTGTGTGTGTGTGCGTGCGTGCGTGCGTGCATGTGTGACGGAGTCTCGCCCCGTCACCCAGGCTGGAGTGCAGTGGTGCGATCTCAGTTCATCGCAACCTCTGCCTCCTAGGTTCAAGCGATTCTCCTGTCTCAGCTCCCCAAGTAGCTGGGATTATGGGCATGGGCCACCATGCCCGGCTAATTTTTTTATTTTTAGTAGAGACGGGGTTTCACCACATAAGTCAGGCTGGTCTCAAATTCCTGAGCTCAACTGATCCACTTGCTTTGGCCTCCCCAAGTGCTGGGATTACAGGCGTGAGCCACCGCACCTGGCCCAAGAATATGTTTAAGCTAAGGCCTACAGGATGAACAAGTGAGGACAGAGAAAAGGAACAGACTTCTTCTTTTGTTTTTTGAAGACAGAGTTTCACTCTATTATTCAGGCTGGAGTGCAATGGCATGATCTCTGGTCACTGCAAGCTCCACCTCCCAGGCTCAAGTGATCCTCCCACCTCAGCCTCTCAAGTAGCTGGGACTACAGACATGCATCACCATGCATGGCTAATTTTTGTACTTTTTGTAGAGACAGAGTTTCACCATATTGCCCAGGCTGGTCTCAAATTCCTGAGCTCAACTGATCCACCTGCTTCGCCCTCCCCAAGTGCTGGGATTACAGGCGTGAGCCACCATACCCGGCCAGGAATAGACTTCTATGCAGTGGGAGCATCACACACACACACACAAAAGCCAGGGGAGATTGCTCATGGTCCATTCACTGAACTGAAAAGAATTCAAGAGAAAGCAAGTCAGGAATGGTGGCTCATGCCTTTAATCCCAGCATTTTGGGAGGCTGTCGGGAAGATGGCTTAAGAATAGGAATTTGATATCAGCCTGGGCAACATAGGGAGACCCTGTCACTACAAAAATAAAAAAATTAGCTGGGCGCGTTGGCTCACACCTGTAATCCCAGTACTTTGGGAGGCTGAGGCGAGCAGATCACCTGAGGTCGGGAGTTCAAGACCAGCCTGACCAACTTGGAGAAACCCTGACTCTACTAAAAATACAAAAAATTAGCCAGGCGTGGCGATGCATGCCTGTAATCCCAGCTACTCGGGAGGCTAAGGCAGGAGAGAATCGCTTGAATCCGGGAGGCGGAGGTTGCGGTGGGCTGAGATGGAGCCATTGTACTCTAGCCTGGGCAACAAGGGTGAAACTTCGTCTCAAAAATAAATTAATTAAAAAAATTAGCCAGGCATGGTGACACATGCCTGTGGTCCCAACTACTTGGGAGGCTAAGGTGAGAGGACTGCTTGGGCCCAGGAGATTGAGGCTGCAGTGAACCATGATGGTGCCGCTGCACTACCACCTGGATGACAGAGCGAGACCTTGTCCCCCAACAAAAGAAAAAAAGAGTAATCAACTTTATCACTTCTCGGCCATTTAGCTAAGATCAAGTGTAGTATCTGTTCTTATCAGTTGAATATCTGATACGTCCAAAAAAATTTAATTAAAAAAAAAGTAATCAACTTTAATAAACTTTGAAAGCAAAAAAAAAAGAAAAAATCAATATGGCAGTAGTAGCAATTGTGTGTGTGCATGTGTGTGCATTGATGCATGTGTACAAGTGTGTTGGGGGAAGGCACAGAAAGAGAAGATGTTAGATAGACAAGTAGAAGCCAGATTATAAAGGGCCTTATAAGGTTTAGATTTTATGATGAGAAAGGTGAAGTACCAGTGAATGATTTTAAGAATAACAAGGACATAAACATATGTACATTTTAGAAAGCCCTTATGACAATCTCTATACACTACTTTGGAGTGGTCTCCAGGATAGGTTTTAAGTAAAATATGAAAGGTAAACAATAGTATGCTATCTGTTATTTAAGTGAAGGTAGAGGGAATACAAATATATTTGTATTTTAAACATGTAACAACAACAACAACAAAAATAATCCAAAAACTAATTAAAGGGTTATCTATTGAGAAAGAGAGGTAAAGGGGACAGGTATGGAAGTTAAGAATTCTCTTCATTTCCACAGAAAATTGAAGTAAGATAAAAAAGAAAAAAAAAAAGAATTCTCTTCATGTACCTTGTTTTATACTTTTGGTTTTAGAAACACATTAAGATGTTATATATAACTATTAAAAGAAAATTAAATCAAAATGTGAAAACCACTGAGTAAAAAATTGTTGGGGAACAAGATAGTCACAAGATGCCAAAGCATCACTCTAAAGATTACTAATTAATGACAAAGGCAAAAGTGTACCTTTAGTGTTGAAAAATGTAGCAACTGACAACTTAACTGAGGGATCAAACTCAGTATCACTAATAGTAGGCACATCCTGACATCATGTACCTCCTGGAGGGATGACACATAAAGCTCACCAATGAAATGTTCTTGCCAAAAAATACTTAACGTGAATCCACTGACCCTCCAGACTAGATCAAATTTCCAATTTATAGGAGATACAAGGGTTGGAAGAACAGGTTAAATAATACTGTTAAAAAAAGAACATATCCATAATGTGGGACATTTTCCAAGAAAACTCTCATAGACTCTTCAAAAGATCAATGCCACAAATAAAAGGTAAAAGGATAGCTCCATATTAAAAGAAACTAAAGAGACATTAATAAACAAAAGAAACTCATAAATTTTTATTGGATACTAGTTTCAAAAAGAAAAAAACTATAAAAGACACTTTTAGAACATCTAGGGAGATTCAAATATGGATTGAAGATTAAATATTATGAAATGCAATTATTCATTTTCTTTGGTATAATATGAAATTATGGTTAGATAGGACAATCCCTTATTCCTAGCATGCTGAAGTATTTAGGGTTGAAGCATCATGGCCACACTTCCTTCAAAGGGTTTGGCAAAAATAAAAAAACCTGCATGTAGTGGGGGGCAAGAGGGAAGAGAGAAAAGGAAACGTGGTAAAATGTTCACTGATGAATCTACGGTGAAAGGCATATGAGTGTTCACTGTTTTAGTCTTTCGGCTTTTCCATGGGTTTGAAACATTTCGAAATTAAAGTTGGAAAAAGATATCAAAATGCTAAAAAGAACAATCCTTAAAAATGGAAAACAAACTAAAACAAAGAAACCTAACTATATATTAAGCTGGTTAAACACTCAGATAATTCTTTCAAATTACTTTAAAACATAGCGGCATGACTATACATGCCCAATGAGGCCTTCCTTAGCTTAATAATAAAAAGAACTTCAGAAAATCTTAAACTACTTAAAACTACATTCAATAATCAAATTGTTACTAATAATATCTTATTGTGATTTTCAAACTACTATATACAGAGTAGGATAAAGTAAATGTGTTATGTTAGTGTTGCTAGGAACTGAGACTTTCAGCAACAATAACTGGGAGACTCAAACATAAAATAAATGATGTTCAACTGAAAAATAAAATTTCAATTCAAAGTATCAATATGAACTCATGATGTATTTTTCCTTCAAAATAAAATAACCACATTTAATAGTCCAATCTACTGAAAAGTTCTAGAAGTACTAACAAACCCAACAATCATGAACACTCCAGTATCCAGATGGCAGTTGCTAAATAATAGCATTTCCCAGTAAAGGAAGTCAGACCTTCCTGGAGAAATAGCTGATTCCAGGTCTGGGTGGAAAATGTGGAAGATGAGCCTGGACATATTGGAAAGCGAGGAAGATATCAAAGACTACAAGGATTATGTTGAAATGATTCAGAAGTCAAACTGAATGAGTTATCATTGGTCAAAGATGGGACAACCTGAGCACCAAGAAGGATAATAACCCCAACAGACTGAAAGACACCAAATATATTTAAATTCATAATGATACAAGAACTCAGTGGACAAATCTTGAGAAAGCCAAGGAAGCAACTCCTTATTTTATAAACTGATAAAGTGGGAAAAAAAAATCAAGCCTTTCCTATACAAACTGTACTAACTGCATCTCAGAATAACCAAATAAATGAGAGCAAGTATCTCTTTATAATATTCCAGCTGGTAAACAGAAATGATGTAAGGTCACCATTTTGCAAGCCCTGACTAATTAATAGATCTACACAATAATAAGCATAGCTGCAAACCACACAAAAAGAGCCACTAATGGACATTACGTACCTCCTGATGGAAGTAACACCACCACCTGTGAAGGAGTCGTAAGCACAACAAACAAGCAAACCCCAAAATGTTTTTTTTTTTTTTAATTTTTTTTTTCTTTGTTTTAAGATGGGGTTTCACCATGTTGTCCAGGCTGGTCTTGAACT